TACCCCCTAGCGGTCCTGATCGAGTACCGGCCAGAAGTGATCGTCATTGACGACTTTCGGGTGTACCCAAACCAAGCAGGCTTCGGCATCTCGGACTGCTTGTGCTTACTGGAAGGGAGGGTGCCACTTGTTGTGCCAGTACCAAAAACGAGCAGTAAGGCCGACGAGATTTACTGGGATGATGCGCCAATTATAGTGACCGTTCCTGGCTTTTTCATGTGCCGTCACTTATCACATGAGGAGCATAGAATGCTCAACGAACGGTTCCGATGGTTTCAATTTGATTGCCCTTTGCCAAGGGAGAGCAGAAAGGACCTACCCACTTGTGGTCGTTGTTTCGCTACATATATTTCATCCCACACGACTCTACTCTGAAGTGTTGAACCATTGATTCCTAGAGGCTCTCTGTCATCCATAGGAGACTTCTTCTTTGCTAGTCTCTTGTCTTGTGTTCAGAGGGCGGAATACGTCTCATTGTAGTTCGTAAGTTATTTCCCCGTGATATGTCAACAGCATCGTCCAAAAATTCCGCTCACGCGAATTCGCCCACTGCAGTCAAACGCAAAAGTAGTGTGGTTGGGGAACTCGGTTGGTGGACTACTGTTGGTAGCTGCCCCCCTTCCCCCCCTTCCCAATGTTGGGCGGACATTAGGATATTGCGAGACTTAATGCTTTGATCCAACATTGGAAGGGGGGTAGGGGGGGCGACTCGGTGAGTCAAGAGTTTTGATTTTGCCTGTATGTGTGTGGTTTTCCCGTCGAAGCTCTGTCAAAGAGGTGCTACTCGGGAGCCTCGAGCTCCGCACTCGGACTCGGAACTTTTCTGAGCGAAAAGTCTTGCGCTAAGCTCTTTGGTGGCTTGGACCACCATCAGAGCATCTGATGAGCATCATGAGCATAGGACACGAGACGTGGATCCAAGTCCTTTGGGATACCCCCTTGGTCATGGGATCCATGACCCATTCATTACGTTGTGACGGTCCAAATTGGTCGTTGTGAGGCAGTGCTTCGTGTAGTACTCGTTGTCACTTTGGGGTTGCATCATAGGGGTTCTAATTCATTACGCGGGCCAGGCCCTGTCCACTTATATCTATGTGGTTCTATGGTGTAACGGTTAGCACTCCAGACTCTGAATCTGGCGATCTGGGTTCAAATCCCGGTAGAACCTGTTTTCTCGCACCACATATGTGGAGAAAATAAATGTCAAATCATCCCGGACTCCAAACCTACTGCGAGCAATCCGAATTCCACATCCAAGGGTTGGTTTTCCCGTCGAAGCTCTATTAAAGAGATGCTACTCGGGAGCCTCGAGCTCCGCACTCTGCACTTTTCTGGGTGAAAAGTCCTGCGCTAAGCTCTTTAGTGACTCGGACCAACATCAGAGCATCTGAAGATCGTACGAAAGACATGGAAAAAGGTAAATTGATCACGAAACACATATCGTTGAAAGACTAGTGCGCGCGCTCGTGTTGAAATGGGACCCGAGACGTGGATCCAAGTCCTTGGAGACACCCCCTGGATCATGGAATCCATGAGCCATCCATGACATGGATGCACTCTAATACACTGTTTTCTCCAAGCCTGGAGAGGACTACTTCCTTTCCAGTCGGATTTTGGAAAAGAGGGTACTTCAATTAGCCCCAGGTGTTGTGCGGAGGCCGGACTGGGAACGATAAGTGTGAGCTACCGTGCCTATGGTGAACGCGGGCCCGTCGTGGCGTCGTGACAAATCTATTTGTACGAAATGCCCTCAGCATCAGCGTTAGATCGAGCCAGTCGTCGAGACCCCATTCTCTTAGCGATCTATAAGGAATTCATCCCATAATTTTCTTAGTCGTTTGGATTTGTTGGAGCTCCCACCCTATCTCTAACTAGACAACGGTCACTTTACGTAGAGAAACTAGAAATAATCAGCTGCTCCTCCGTCATCATCATCTTCATCTCCTCCTCGAGCACCCTCATCCTCGAACTCACCTGCTCGACATTTCGCAATCCCGAGATCAGACAACTGCAATGATCCACAACCTACCTGTTATCTCATAGTCATCTCCTCCGAAGCTCTCATTGTCGGTGACTTCAGCGTACTCCTCCATCGCCTCGTTGTCATCATTATCAGACTCGCCGCCATCATCATCACCATCCCCTCCAGCCTACCAACAGTGTCTCCACTCTCCTGCGATTTCCGATCCTTACCTGTTCCAGTCGCTTGAGTAAACTCTTCCGGTTTTTCCGTCGTTCATTAGCTTCCTTGGACCGGAAAGTCGCGAGAGTGTCGGTTTGGAGCTCCAGTGGGAAGTAGTCCGCTGAGCCGACTTCCCTACAACAGCAACAGTGAGGAACTTCAGCCCGACGGTTACACAGAAGTAAAACAGCAATAGCCTACGCAACAAGCTGCTTCCAAAGGGACTCTCCCGATTCTTTCCCCGTCTCTCGCCAACCAGGTTGGCTCAACTTCCGCCGTTTCGAGGCCTGTACCGCCCCAGAGGAAGTGAAGCACACTGAGCGTTCCGACGTTGAGATTCTAACAAGCATCCAATGAATTCCCCAAGCCGACGGACCATGCTCCCAAAGCTCACTGGATCCAGTAGTTGACAAGGTCTCGTTGGTAGCTGACGAGCATCTCGTCCTCCGGTGTTAGGCCCTGAAACTCGGAAACCTCATACGTAGAAGGATAAGGCGGAGGAGGCGCTGCTAGAGGACCCCTCCTTTCTCCTCCAAAGCGCCTGAAAGACAACCCAAAACTCCTCACAGACATACCACACAGCGGAGGATTTTTCTCCTGGAGAGTTAAGTTATCAAATAACATGATAAACCTAGTTATGCGACACAAGAAATCGTCATAATATGTCCTATTCAGCGAACTAGCAGTGGAGGAGTTGGATATAAATCCAGCGAGCCGCAGATCCTAGACTTACGGCCCTCCTCCACGTCCCTTCCCTTTACCCTTGCCTCCGAACGGCATAAAAGAAGGACTGCTACTACTGTGAGAATGAACAACCTTCGACACACAAGAGCATTAGAGCACACCCCAACTCGGAACCAATAGACGCAACTTGAGAGGTACACTTCGGTGGCGCTGTGAAAATAGTATCTGACTGTTGGCTCAGCTGAATAAGGCATCGAGCTCGTCTTGAGTCTGAAAGAGATGATATTGGAATTAAAAATCAGCAATTCTCAAAAAGGGCGAATCGAGGTTTCGAACCCGGGACCTTCCAAATCAAATGCGAAAACCATACCACTACACCACAGAGGATATTGTAGACGCAGTAGAATAATATTATCTTAACACCAAGCGTAACCGATAACTATGTGCAACGTGACCCAACCATCTCACCTTCTTCCGATGTACACTCAAATCGTTCTGAAAAACAAAGGAACAAATAATCGAGAACGAACGGGAACTCTAGTGGGAGCGGACAAGAAAATATTGACGATAAGTTCAAATCAACGATAAGCTTATTCCGCTCGGGATCCACGACTTATGCTCCCGTCATTATTTCGCGCATTATAATTCCTAACTACTCAACTACCACCGATATGAAACCTCTTACCCCGAAAAAATCCACATTTCCAACAACCGCTCCCTCACCATGTGGAACTCCCAGAGAAGGACTACTGTGCCCCCGGAAGGCGTGCCTCAAGGACTCTCCTCCACCTAAAAGACTGAGATCGCTGTGGATTCAGAAACTAAACACACCAAATAATACTTAGTAAATTGGTTTCAGCTTGTTGGGTCTGCCCCAGAGACTGCTTCTGAGAAGGAGTAGGTGGAGGAGGAGGGCCAGTCGACTGCAACCCCGCCCGAACTCCAGTGGCTGTAGCGCTTGCTGCTGCACTAGGTGCCTGAGGCAAGCTGAGTTCACATATACCACGCCAATACTACCGTGTTGGTCGCTGGGACATTCTGTGACGATTCTGCTGCGGACGAATTGCCGGCTCCTTCTCGCCACGAAATACGCAGTACCTACAGTGTGGGCCAAACCGTTATTATGCAAAGTAATATTTTCAACACCTTCAATTTTCGAGGGTCAACAATTTTGGGTAATATCAACATGATAACAATGTGAATCGATTGACACCAACGTTTCAGAAGCGTTCCGTAGTCTATATTAGTAATGCTCTCGAATTGAAGAAAGCCATCTCGAAAATCTAGATATGCATAACTGTAGTACGACCTACAGCAGAGTGCATGACTCTAACCTACTTTAGCAACTATCTTGTTATTATATATCGGTACGGGGACGTCATCATTGGTGACGTCGATCCAAACGCTGCCTGTCTCATACCTGATTAGCACGACGCGGGTACTACTCAAACACGAAGTGGACGAGGAGTGGTATAAAATATAGCCCCAATAATACTTCAGCTTGAACCGGAAATGGTACGTGCCCGGCAATGGGAACTTCTCTCGTATATCTCGCAGCCTGAGTCAAGGAAACAATTCGAACGTCGATACGACGACGCATAGACACCCAACACCATCCGGATTTCCTCCCACCTTATTGTTTCCGGCGGCTTTGGTATGGGAAAGGCGTTCGGGTGCGCCGCGTCATCTAAATCGTTGAACAATACCAAATAGCTCACAGAAAATGTAAAAAATGCAGACGCAGGAACAGATGAAATTTCACTTCGCCAAAGAGTGCTGACGTTCACATCGCCAGAAGAGGCGTGTCTAACACTCTACATCTCCTACAGAAATGTCTGCGGCAACCTATTCACAACCATACTGACGAAACCAGTCCGGCAGAATACATTTCAGACCTGTTTAGCCGACCGTTTCTCATCGTATTCAAAAACACATGCCTTGATTCGCCGTTGACTTTCATCTCGATATCCCCAGCTCTATCCTAATGCTGATATATATACATTACTCTTCTCTTTATAACATAATCGTGCGCGAAAAATTCACATCTTTATAAATTACTATAATCGTATATTCTAATATATGAATATACCGACTCCGAATATCCCTACGTTTTTGACCAAGTAATACGAGCTCTACGATTCGATCCAACAGCACAGCAAACCCACCACACTCGATCATGTAACCTTTATATATATACTCCCCCCTCCCCTTTTTATCACCTCTATCGGACGGCACGTAGTAATAGACTAAGGTCGAGCGTGTTGACATCGTAAGGGTACTGAATATGGCCAATTTACCACCCTTCCCACATGCTGTAGACTATAACCCATCAACACACAACGAAGTAAAGGAAACCGGTTTTTGCGTTCAATAAAAGATATAGAAATGAACGGCTGCCTGATACAAGCCAACTCTTGCTATCTTGCCCATCTTGCTTTTCCTCAACGCATGATCCTTAGTGATCCAACTGAAGAGAAAACCCAATGAACTGAACAGCTTGAATACTCCCGAAGAATCACAAGATCATTGGTTAGGTATCTTTGCGCACAGGGAAGATTTTCCAAAATTATTACTGGCTTATTATGAGCCTCCTGATGATTGCCAGATATCCAGTTGTTCATGGCACTCATGCCTCTAGAAAGGGAGGAACCAACCTTGGAAGACACGCAACCAAGAATTGTACCAGACACCTCTCGCGAGGAAACCCAGCGACCTACCTTTTCACTAATCTGATACTGCTGATTAATCTCCGACATCTTGCTGCCAACGGCTTGGACACCAGAATTCACTTTACCCGACACATCGTAAGTCTGGTCGAACTCACGGGCTTTCTAAAATGAAACAATCATTACCTCCATCATCCACTCAGTTTCCTTATACCCACCGAGCTAACGGCATCAGCTGCTCCTCTGACCTTCTGCGTCACACCATATCCCTCACCAATCTCGGCACCCTGAGACTGTAACTCAATGAATATCACCCCACTGGGAGACTACCTTCTCAACAGCCTCAGTAGTGACGTTAGATGTAGTACTACCGACATTCCTAGCAACCGACCCTATCTTGTCAGTTCTTGTCGTGGCGTAGGCGGCACCAGCAGCGCCCGCTACTAAGCCGATTGGGCCTACACAGGTGGACAACGGAATTGTTTCCTGTACAGCTCGAGTATTCAGATATTAGATGTCATGCGTGTTTCTCACTGTGAGTCAATGCATTGTCCGCTACTACACTTGATATGAGAGATGGAAAAATGCTCCCACTGCGGATTGAACCAACACCCTTTCGGTACCAAGCAAAAGGAGACCTCCCAATCCCCCTATGGCAGCTGCTCCTCCCATAGCAGCTCCCTTGGTCGCCTCTCGATGAGCACCAGGCGCTACTGGCTCAGTGCTGGTCATGGTTAAAGATACCTAGGAAGGAAACGCTATCGACTAATATCGTCAAGCCCCGAACGAAACTGGCTCAACTGATAGATGTTCCATATTAATTCTCCAACGATTATACGGGTGGGAAATTTCGCGCGCCACAAAATTGCCATGACCCTGTTACTACTGGATGTATATGCTGTTCTAATGGAACGCCTGCAGTATCCACTCCAGAATCGAGGGTATCGCGGAGGTAGTTGGCTCGCGCATCAACTTCCGACTGACACAACAACAACAACAACATGATGCAACAATTTCGTGGCGCGCGATAAAATTTCCAAAGCCTTCCTGCTCACTTTATGCTGCCTAATAGCCTCCAAATCCGGATGATGGAGCGGCAACACGGCCAATGCCTCCGAAAGTCTATTACTAGCCTGTACATAATCTGAAACCCATCTATAGACCGTCTGGGTGTTTTTACCCGCGTAAAAACGTCTCATTACATGATATAGCCCTCTGCAACTGATTAGCCCTATCTCTAACCATGGCCTCCTGTTCTGCTGAAGCCGCCTCCATCACGAACTGTGTACCCTGCGAGGATCTATCCTCATAGTCTCTCACCGCCGCTGACGGCTCTGTTGCTGTGGGGTTGCTAGACATTACTGATGAAACTTATATTACTACGAAGCGTCCCCACTTCTTTCTGCGAACTCCAAGATCCCACGAGGGTAAAAATGACATATGCCGGGATCGAACCTGTGCACGCTACAAGACGACACACCGACCTCCATAACACAATTAGAAATCAGTGACAGAGATCTCTTTGGGGGATGACGATATCAGCCACAACAGTAGCAACAGTAGCAACCAATGACTAAAATGGCGTCCCAAGTGGTCGCCGTTGAGAAAATGCAAGATCTTCCAAGATTGCAAGATCCACCAACATACCTCGTAGTCCAGAACTGCCGCATAAATAGATGTGTAAACAATGGTACTACAAGACGATACCCAGAAACAATGCCGGCTGTCCCAGCACACAAAGAAATTGCACGCACGCACAACATAACATCTTCAGTCAGTAGGAGGAACAATCAGCCCACAACCGACCTCGGTTTTCCTCAGATATCAATCGCGCACACCTCACTAAAAAGGTGGTAAGACCAGTAGAAAATACTTATAAACAACCGTGAAAATTAGTCCGCAATCGTGTAAACTTCACGCCACCTTAACCGCTCGATTTACCCTTTCCGCACGGTAACGATATCGCGGAGGTCCTCCTCGTAAATGATCTCGTCGACGCCTCTCATGACGATGAGGCATCCCTCCAGCACAAGACCTCCTCCACTCCACTGCACTAGTCGCCGACCGCGCGCCCGTCAATTCATCCGAGCTTCTGGAAGCATTGTAGCTACTCAGTTGACTACTTGATAACGGGGAATCCTCTAATATAGTGCACAGGGGTGAGGGAGCTGACTTCCTCACCAAAGAAGAGGAGCAGGAGGAGAAAGGTGTGAAACCTAATAAAGTTTATTATGTTATTTAAATTTACTATATGAAAATAAATCGTTTGTTAAACTAAACGATTAAATTTAGATTTGTTATAAACGAATTGATTCCAGCCCTGAACAGGACGCGGAACCTCAGGGTTTCCACAACTAGCTGATAAAAACACAAATTCAGACATGAAACACACAAGACTAGCATAGTATTACCCTTCCCAAATTCGCATCTCGCCCACATCCTTTCCTCCGTATCATCAATACTACTACGTCGCCTCTTGCGCGACCATCCTACAACAGAGTCGGGAGATGCTCCCACCAGGATTGGAACCTCTGCGGGATTCATGCTCACAGGGTCTGAAATGGGAACACGATTGAATGTTAACTACTACACGCTGATACAGCGAATGATCGGAGCCTCAACACCCACATCGGAAGAAATATCCCATCTTAAAACGCCTTTACACAAATTTATAAAAAACGCCGGATGGTGAAATCGAACCCACGACCTATTCCCCACCATCACCTGATCCTCCCTCATTCGCCTGTTCCTCCTCCACAAACACATCAACACATCCCAAACCCTCCTCATATCTACTAACTTCATACTTTCTATATTTAGCCCGCTTCGCTCCGCTGACAGCATATACTTTCTCCTCTTCCGTTACCTCCGTTGTTGACGAAGTACAACCCATTTCTACCAATACTCGACCCACGTTCACTCAACTGCTCAGCTGCAGCAGGAGCAATTAAAAAACAGACAATCACAACTAAATCACTAAGAAAATCTTCTCTGTGCGCAAAGATTCCACAACACCACACCCGTTAACACAACAGTGCCAGGACAGATTTTGTGAATAAATTTCCGAGAAACATCTTCTTCGCCTTACTCCTCTTTCAAGCTGCTGAGATACCTCATACCATCAATAGGATAGAACATGAGATGCTGAGGTCCTCTGTAGTCCTCCACACCAATCTCTGACCGCGCGCCACGTAATTCATCACAACGGATAATCATACCACACCCCAAGAAGAAACCAAAACTCGCAGCCCCGCCAATGATGCTCATCGGGAGATACCTGAACAACACGTAAGCACACCTGGAAATATCAATCGCCGAATGAACACATTTAATAACCGTAGCATACCACATCAACACTGTCTTATCTTGTGCGCGGGCTGAAATTATGCAGATTATAATAAATAATAACGCTAAGTTGATCCGAAATAATAATGCAGGATGAACTGAACCAAGATACGCTCGACACTACACTGATTGACGGGTCTGCTAGGGCACACAGTTTGCGAAATTTCAATCAACGCACACGCAAATTGTGTTCAAAAAATGACCGAAAATTGTCTACAGGTCTTACCAAAAGTTCCTATACGCCACCATGCTATATCCACCTGCAAGCACCCCGAAGATGCCTCCTACAGCACCTCCCATCTTGCCGCCCATCTGATGAGGGAATGAGAATCTTAGGTCGAACCACGCAAGATACAAAAGAGGTCGAATAAGCACACTTATGATCCTATGTCTCCAAGCTATGAACCGAAACATAACAGAAAATCTTCCAAGAAGATGAAGATTTTCGCCCAGAAAATGATACCAATATTTTTTCGGTGGAAGTTATAAGCTTATAATCAAAGCTATGAACCTCAGAACAACAGAAGTTTTTCCCTTGGATAGATTTGGTTTTTCCCTAGATTTTCTACCCAAAAAATTATCCCAATATTTTTCCACTGAAGAGATTCTCTTCAGTAGAAAAATATTGGGATAATTTTCTGTTGAATATCTCTTGATGAGATATTCAACTTTCCGAGCCAGCTTACAACACTATGAGAGTGTAAAAACCGGCAACCTGATTATTACCAGAATGCTTTGATAGCACGCCCTTGCCCTCGGGTTGGAGATCCATCTTCCGCTGCTTACCTTCATCCAATAATCATCTTTAAAACCTAAACCACACGCAGAACGCAGAACGTCTCGGGAAAAGAGGCAATCGCCAATTCGAATCATCATCAGAAACAAAAAACGAGGAGTAGGGAAAGACGTACCGGGTTCCTCGGCTGGCACTGATGAGGCGAACTTCGAGAAGTCTTCCGAGGCATAAGGATCATCCCTCTCATCGCCGTGCAGAGGTTTATAGTCCAGATTGATCGGCTTATACGATGAAGATACACCTGACAAGGAGAAAAGATAGTCACAAGAGTCCTCGTACGGCTCAGCATACTCTCTTTGGGAGGTGGAGGTGTGAAGCCGCTGAACTCCTGAGTGGAAGCTTTTTCTTGGGAGGACTTATAGCCCTTGGGGGGCTCTGGGATGGGTACGCTGCCTCCCGAGGGTGGGGCTATGTGGGACTCTACTGGGCTGAAAGGGGAAAACCGATATACATATATCTGATCGAGCCGCCGAAATGAAAAGCTGAGAACTCTAGTAAAATAAAGGTGCGAACGATTCGTATGCAATAGGACAAGAGATTCAATACACCCGCTGTCGCGGCTAACTGAATCATGAGAAACATTTAGTTACAGTAGAGGACGAAGGACTAATTTCCCCGCGGGGGAAGGCCTATGTCAGTTCCTGGTGAAAATTATATATTCCCGAATAACGATGGTGTAAAAACCCACAATTACATCGTCACGCGCCACGAAACTACCAAATAGATACGGCGTGTTCAATAGACCCTCATGAGCCCACCCAGGATTAGATATCAAATGAAAAACTCGACCTTGGGACTCAGGAAAAGTCTATTGAACACCCTAATATGTTACAAACCAACCGACATCGCAGTATCTTGAGGTTGACACTCAAAGATACGATCCATGTCCCCTACCTGTTAGTATCTCCACCTTCCGTTGCTTGAGAGTTCGAAGTCGAGGAGAAAGGCCAAACCATTTACACTAATGAGTCGCTGACGAACACTGGAGACCATAACACCCACGCCCTAGCCGTATCCTGCGGTTGCACCTAACCCGAACGAGCAGCGCGCGCCCAAGTAATCGATTTTTGTTGGCCACGAAATATAATGCTTCCCTTATTATTCGGAGTAGGAGTTGGTGCATTAGCCGTGCGACAAGGTAATACCCTTGGGTAGATACTTAACGAATCTGATGGGGACGTTGAATGATTTCTGGTTGAAAAATAAAGCGTATCTTGAGGTTGAGCTCACAAGATACGACGAAGCATCGTGAGTTGATTTTGGCCATCTACATGTTGTTCGATCAGAAAGTTACCGAGCTCACTCTTCCACGAAAAATCTGATACAATAATCGTATTTTCCTTCAACAATTAGCCGTATCAAAGCGTATCTTTCTCCCTCAACCCTAAGATTCCCCTCAGGTATTCGGTTTGCCAGTGCAGCTGGTATGACTCTACCAAGGATGTCTACACTCTTCCGAGCATCTAATTTGAGGGGTCTCGAAGGCTTCGACCAGACCATGTCAAGAGTAGTATCATCGTCCTTCTCTCCTCTCGACATGGAGAGTATCCTATTTTTTGTATAATATTAGCCTACACCGTTACCAGTGTGCACACTGTGCGCTTTTTATAGGTTTGCAACATAGTGCTATGAATATTACTCTGTCATCGCATGGGAAAATATTCAGAATATGGAAATTTCTGAGGGGATCCTTGGGAATTCTCTTTGTACTTCTACCATGCGAAAAGTCTATAAATATTGAGGAAACACGTAGTCGACAACTTCATGTTCAAATACCACAAGTGTCACAATTCAACTTCGAAAGAGCTGCATCGTAGTGTCTTGAGTACACCTTCTTTATTTCACAATTGTTGAAGGTGTGTTGTTCTTGGTAGTCGGAAGCCCGTAAGATCCTTAATCTCGGTCAAACTCAACTTAGTAGGGAAAATATACAGAAGGTAGTAGTACAATGGCATAACACCTAAGTCACTACATAGTCTTTCTTACCATCAGCATCATCGGCAACTTCTGCTGTCCAATCATCCAGATCGAGGTGGGAGTACTTACATCGCTTCCAAGATTAACGAAGCGAAAGATGTAATATTAAAACTAATCGTGATTTTTTCTTCGCCACTGCTTCGTCGAGAAAGAATTCCGAAAGTTGAAAGTAGAGGTTTATTCTCCCAAAAAATTATTTTCTACCTTTGGTTTTTATTCGGTACCTCGTGGTTTCATCCCGTCATCAGGTCCTGCTTGGTAAACGGCGATAATTCGCTTGAGTTTTGCAGTCGTGATAGAGTGGTTGATGTATAATTTGCTTGCTTCCCTTGTTTTATACTACTATTCAAGCGAAACACCACCGTTCACTGCATCGTCCATGCCGCTTTGTGTGAGTTGATGGTTCAGTCGAGCAGCAAGCTGCCACGCGCGCAGTTGTGGCGTAGACGCCGTTACATCCGTCCGTAAATTCCGCAACTTTTTCGTAAACCGTAAACGCTAACGGCTCGCAATACGTTGTTAATGATGGACAGGTGTGGGGGCCCACGACATGACCGGCCATTGCTGTTACAGCAGTGACGTCGTCCATAACGACTCGTTCTGGATACGTTACTATCTGCGCTGCCTCGAATAGCGATTACTTCTGTATTACTCTGAGTAATTTTACTCGGTAAGATGTACATCTACCAAACGCTCGGATCTTGGGAAGAGAATGAGCGATGCTGGGAGGTGGTAGGATTGCACCAGGTACTAAACCTCGAGCCTCTAAACTCGCGGCCGGAATACTAGAGTCGGGACTCGTGACGAGTCACTCGTCGCGGGTCTGGCTTCGAATCCAAAACCTGAACAGGCTGACATTATTCGAGTACCGACCCTCCGCTGTCTGCAGCTTGATAGATTGGGTCCAACGGTGCACTGGAAGCAGGATTCTAAGAGCCGGTGAGAAAAGAAATTGAGCTCGTGTAGGATCTCTGGCATTCGTATTGTGAACGCACCTTAATGTGATGTATCTTTGATCGTATGAAGATGACAATGCTTTATACTTCGCCTCTTGTCCTCACCGACACTCAAGTGGTCATAAGCCACTCGTTTGTATGACTCAGGTTGTCAACCTCAGTGACTCAATGAGTCACTCAACGATAGCCAGAAGCTTCACCTTCCACGTCGTGGAAGGGTAGAGGAGGAGTTCTCCAAACCATGCTGAAAGCTCAACGCGGAAGCTGATCAGCGAACAAATCACTGCCGATCACGTGAACGACTCCAACACCGAAGGAGCTCAACACGCATAATGCAGATGCAAGGGCTCTGAGATGAGGCCATGTTACACCGGTTAGAGATAATGTTTGGCATCATGCTAAGTTGTCGAGTCTCCGCCCCCATCTCTTGAGCGAAGTTCACCAAGATCAGCCGAATCCAAGGGATCCTGAGAGACCTCCTCTCCAGCCTCCCTGCCAAGGTTCGATCGATCTACTGAGAATAAGTCGGCGAGATCCATACCGCCGTCACCCTCAACGACGCCACAAGTAGGCAGGGTCTTCTGACTCGTCACAGTGAGCCTGCTAGAGGCGCTTCCGTCCTCGGCACAAGATCCCGAAGGTTCCTCCCTTTTTAGTGCAGCGACAAATGCCTCGACTGGTAGGTCATAGAGGAAGTTCACATCGACGGACTCTCGATCAGTAGGAGAGCTAACGGCAAGGAGCAACACAAAGAGATCCTCGAGCTCTTCACCACTGAGCAAGTTGCAAGCCACGAACTGATCATAGGTAACAACGTCCAACACATACGGCAGCTCTGCTTGCCACTGTTGCTTGGTCATTCCCCGCACCTCCTCCATTAAGCGCAAGATTCGTCGCTTGCCCAGTTGATGCCACGCAGGGGAGCTCAAATCCAAGGCCCGAATGGTCGCTCCCACACCAGCACTCTCCCAGAAAGCAACGACTTCCGACTCACCAATCGCCTCGAATAACTCCTGTGATGACCTCGCTGTCAACATCGCTTGTCGCACTGTCTTCTTTTCCATCCCACGAGCACGCCAACGCACCCTAGGCTCACGCCAGCAAGGTTCCACAGGAGCCTCACCAATCCCCGCCAGATCGATACGAAATAGTAAGTCAGTGAGCCGCACTGAAGTGTGTATAGTATCCAAAGGCGTTGTAGGCAGAGCTTCTATCGCCACAGCCCCGACTAGATTCTCTGAGTCGATCACTCCACCATGCTGTTCAGGGAGACCACCAAGCAACCGCAATAGGCCGCACCATTGCTCATCCTGTTCAGCTCGATCTACCAACCTCTGACGAATCGTAACAAGATACCCATCAGGAACCTCATCGGTGATTACCATGTCATAGTACTCACCACTAACAGCAAAGTCTCCATTTTCCTTCAAGAGCCGTCGAGTCGTTCTATTCATAGCAACCGTCTTGGGCTCTAGAGCAGTAGACCTACTCCAGAGCTCCTCCAGAGTCACCTTGCACTCCCGACGGTGGCTCAGCTCAGCTGAAGCGGTCTTGATGGAGCGTTGTACCTACAGTGTGACGGGCATTGGAAAAAGTCATCCGGCTTTCCAATGACTGTTCCCATGTGATGAAAACATTTTTTGAATGTTCGAGTCAGTTCGATCGACTAACTAACATAGTAGTCACCTCCATGAGATAAAGCATACTCCTTGTAGAGATCCCCATCCACTTACCTCGGCCCTCCGCTTGATAGCAGCATCAAGTCCCTCCTGAGCCTCCTCGGCGAGTTCAGCTACTCTGGCCGAGTCTGGGAGATCGGAGCAAGCCTCTAGCTCATGAAGCGTCGGCATGAAGGTATTGGTCATGCACTCGTTGAGCTCATAGGACCTCTGTCGTATCGAGGGCACTTCTTGGACATGCGCATGATCCTAACAAGGATACCACATCAATGAGGAAACACATCTCCTACTATATCACTCGAGGAAGCGCTGATGGAGCCTCGAGAGAACTTATCGAAATCATGTGTACTGTGAGTACATTCGAGTAGCTCCAGCCTGAAGCTACTCGAAATGTTAGTCTATATTCTCACCAAGTGCGAACATAGACTACCAATACGAGACGGATGAGGGTGAGCAGGAATACGGATTCTGCTGATTCGATGTTAAGACCCTTTGTTTCAACACAAGTTGCCCCATCCCCCATCCCATGTGCTAAGGTTATATGTTAGAAGATACTAAGGACCCTGTTGGAGATACAGAGCAGGATCCGATATACCATACTGCCATCCTATTTGCTTTCTCATTGAGCGATGGTCAGTAGCAGCACTCCCCCCTTCTCACCTTTCTCAACCTCTCACATTCCCTTAGCCACACAGCAAGCTCTGCCTGGAGCTCCACAAGATACGTAAATCTCTCCGTGCGCTTTATATCAGCAATTTCGTCATCAACAGTAATTATCTCCTCCTCCAACTCCGCACATTTCCTTCGGAACATAGCGAGATGAGTATTGGCATCCTCCTCTATGCCGTGGAGCGCCAGCTCCGAGATGGGATACTTCGACTGCCTCAGTCGATTAAGCTCTTTAATGGAGCGTTCTCTCCTCACCGCCTCTCGCCGGGCCGCATGCAACCGTGTTCGCAACTTCCTCGACCGCTCCCGCTCTTCATTCCGTTTCTCCTTCAACCGCAATACTGTTCGATACATCTCCTGTGTGCTCCGCATAGGTTTATTGACCACCACCGCTGGAGATGACATCAATAATGGAACTGTCATAGAGCTGCGATCGAAAGGTTCCATATGGAGAAGCATGCCTCCCTTCTGCTATCAATATCCCTATGCCTGATACCCTCAACATACACGATAGTGAAGAATTCCTATTTGTTGCACACAAGAGACGAAATGAGCGTTTATGATGTTGTGAGGGTTAAATGACACACTACGCTACTACAACGTGTGAGGCCGACCCTGTCCTTGCTGGAAACAGCACAAGATAAGAATTGCTCGGGTTATCATATGCTACCGACACGGATGAGCCTAGGGAAGGTTTGACGGGCTCGTCGAGCTACGACTAATCTTAGTCGAGCACAATGACAATTACGTCAATTCTCCCGTCACATCAATGCATAGCGTTACTGCCAACGCGGCGCTAGGAGCATCCAAACTTCCATACCTCCCCCTCCCCACATCTAACAAACGCCGCACACTCCGTAAGATCTGTCATAAAACTTCGAGGGTGTATGGGGTGTATAGGGTGTATAGGGTGTATGGCACACTAAGCCGACGGAGTAAGCAAGTCTTTACTCTTTCTTAGTCGACTCGCTCGAACTCTCATCGGCCGACTTCTTAGCATCGCCCTTCTTCTCATCATCATCCTTCTTCTTGTCACTGTCATCCTCCTCGTACCTGCCACAACAGAATTTACGATCACCATCACACGGCAAAGCACCACAAGAAGGCTCGAGCCGTTCGTACTACCTCTTAGATGAACGATGGACAGCCTCGTGATAGAGCTTCCACTGATCGAATGTGGCTTTAGGAATTACTACTGATACTGACGAAACTCTTGTCTGTAGCTTAACCTCCTTGGTTGTCACCTAGAGAGAATGATAATATCGCCTAGAATGGAGAAGGGAGAACAACTGATACAGCAACAAACACTAGTAGAACCCTATGATGGTAGTTACATACGTTACAGACCTCTTGAGTCTGAATTAAATCGAGCATCCTACCTTGAACTCAACCTCTGGGCTCTCGTCTGCGAATGGGACATCTCCCTTGACCACCAGCGATCCACCGTTAGATGCTGCCTTCTCGTCTGAATAGTCCAGGAGCTCCTAATGCGGATTACAGAGCAGACACTTACACAGAGCGGAGCATTTTTCGGGGAGAGAGTCACAGATAGCCTCGTTGTTGGCTCCTGATAGCATCGCCATCATGCCGTCCTTCTTGTCGAAGGCACCTGTGCTACAATAGGAGTACTCAGCAGTAAGGAAATATTACCGAACATCATATTGATGGAGAAGTAGTAGTTACTCTCATTGTTGATCTAAGAGACGACGATGGACTATCGAGATAAATGGTGTTTGCCTTACGCTGAGGAACTTGAGAGGGTTCTTGAACGACAGCCGAGTCGTGATCTGCACGTCGCCATTGTCAAGCGTAGTAGCGTGGAAAGGGACGATATCATATGAACCCTGAAAGACAGTTGTGAGGCACTTCAGCGGGGAGAGAGTAGTGCCTTTATCTGGCGCATGTGTCCATCCTCATCTTTAATCGAGAGGATGCACCAGCCCACAAAGGGTAATAGCTGGGCCGGAGTAAGCTTGAGGCCCTTCGGCAACTCTTCAGGGGATTCCCCGCTAGTCGTCTTAGTGTTGTTCGATGCTTCGACCATTTTATGATTCAAAAAGATTCAACTGCAGTGGTCATGAACACGTAGAGCAGAAGAGACTACACGTTTCTGATAGGCCGAAGCTTCTTAATACACTTCCTACTAGGGACAACTGCCAGAGCCACAGGGCGGCAGCGACGACACAATCGGGACAGTTTAAATAAAAATAGTGCATTCCAATTTCTAGAATAATGGAGCGATGAATATGATATTTCCCTGGGCGGCGGTCGAGAGCTGATGAATGCATAAGATAGTTGAATAAGCGGAACAAAATGGGCAAGAATCGTTCCCGCGACCATGTGAGAAAATTACTTTGAAACTAATTGTCTACTAAGCAAATAATCTCTCTACTATACGACGCAGATGGAGCCGCCGACATTGCTTGCGTATGCGTGCAAATTTGCACGCAAACACAAGCTGACGACGACACTTTATTCAACTATCATGGTTCTCTGAATATACTCGATCATCTTAATATAATCTGGTGAAAGTAGTTGGAAATACTCCCACCCCTGGGCCAACTATTCAATGCTTCTGTCTTGAGCCCAGCTCACACAGTATGGTGCTTTTGATGAATAGAACTCGTAATAAGTGGAATCCCACATTACCTCCTATCGAATCATCGACCTTGGGCAGTCGACAGGTTTACCAGGCCTTGAGAGATGCGGCCAGTGATGAGGGGAAGACGTTACAACCCTATCACGCATTCCATCCTCCCCCCAGTGCTTGAGTATGGCCTTTGCGGCCGGGAAGCTTCGAGCTCCTCCTCAGCAGGGTTCACCAGGGTTGGTGACACAAAAGATACTCCGGCGGGCTGGTCAGGAGGCTAACCCAATACAGCTCTCGAAGGCCACCAAACAGGTCTTGGCGGAGAGGGTGATGGGGAAGATCGATGCTAG